AAAAAAATTATATTATTAAACCAAATATAAATTACTTCGTTATTGTACATAAATTAAATTATAAAAAATTGAATTAAAAAACTACACAAAAAAATGAGTAATTTCAAATAGTTAATTTGTAACTAATATCAATATATTTTTGTCAAAGTTTTATGATATCTTCAAATATATATTTTATTCAAAAATAAAAACATCATCTCTTTCTCAAAATCATATAAAGCATATTATAACATCGACTGAGATAAAAAATAAAATAAAAAATTAAAATCACGATATATCTCGTTGCATTGCGCGAGTACGCTTCTAGTATATATATATATATATATATATATAGTATTTATTTGATGTCTGTATTTATACTCATTTAGGTCAATGTTTGTATACAAATTTAATGTTTGTGTTTGATGTGTATGTAAAATATATATATGTTTTTCCTTATAAATGTTAATTTTATTGTTATTTGTAATTAAAAAAATTAATTTTCTTTAAAAATCAAAGAAAAGATATTTTTATCCTTTTTCATCGTTCTATTTCAGTTCTGTTGCAAACAAAAGGACATATTCTAATTTATTAGACATATCATATTACATTCATGCCAACCAAACATTTGGTTAACCCTTATAACATTTTATTCTAATTCATTTAAGATTCTAATTTCTTTTATAGATTTCGTTACTTAGGAAATCATGCTGCTGATATTTGGACTTTTAATTATTAAAGTATCATAATCAAATACCAAATAACCCAAGATTGGGTTATTGTCGCCTGTGTATTAATAATCTCATTCTCTCTTGATCTCAACAAACCACTTAATCAAGAACCAAGGACATCCTCGTTTCATCTTTTGTTTATTCTGCAATCTCCATGGAATTACTCATGGAGGAAGAAGAATTAAAAGTTGATGGATTGAGTATGGGTGATTTTCACAGCAATCAGAAAGAGAACTTTGAATTGGCTTCTGATTTTAATGCAACAGATGATAAGAACAATGGGTTTACCCAAGAGAATCAAGCAGAAGATAGTAATGCTGAAGAAGAGTATGACGATGAGGAAGATGAAGACGCAGAAGAAACATATTCATTGAGATTCAAAGGAGAGACAAATCCCTTGGCCCTCACAGAGGATGATGCTTTTGGAGTTCAGGCTTATGAGTGTTTGGAACAACCGGGGCATGAGTATGAAGCTTTGGCTGCTAAAAAGCGTAAAGAAAGCCTCAATTACAATCATCTAGGGTAATTACCATCAAATTCTCATTTACACTTTGTTATTTGGTGAAGTATGTGTTTTGTCCGCTATGCGTTTCCAATTCCAATTCAAAAAATCATATTCTCCAATTTCAGATGTTCACAATGATTGTTGTTTTTTCCGGTCATGGAGTTGAATTTGGGAAATTAGCTCCTTTTGGCGCCCTAGACAGGCTGATAGCCTGATATATTTATCCTCAATTTACGAAAGTTAAAGTTTCTCGATTATTGAAATTGAAAGACGAGAAGATTCTATATAATTTCATATTGTTATGATGAACTTCTTTTAAACTGGGGAATACAATCTTCAATATGACATGTCAGATGCAAATACAAGCTAAGCTGGGTTCTTATATTTATTTTATCAAATAATATAAGTGAATACAAAGTACAGACGCAAGACTCCTTAATAGTCTTTTGCCTTACATAATCATAGGACAGAACAAGACGGAACAAGACAAAACAACTAGAACAACTAGAACAACCGCTTAACATGTGGTATGAGAAAACAATGTTGGTAAGACAAAACTGGACAGGATAGAACATATAAAATGACCAATTTATCTCTAATGATTTGTTTATATCTTGCATATTTTTTTGATTGATTTATTTAATTTATTAAATTATAATAAAATAAATATTTCTATAACAAAATATATCATTAAAATTTTTTAGTCAAGACGATTAAAATGATACCAAAATAAAAAGTTTATGTAATTTCCAATTTCCAATTTCCAATTTCCAATTTTAATTTTATTCTTATTAATATTTAATAGATTACATAAATTAACCAAAATATAGAAACCTATAAAAATAATATTTTGAGGACAGTACAGTGAAAGTTTAGGGAACATAAAATACGAAAAAATAAAATTTAAAAAATGAATAAAATGTAAAGTGGGAGACGTATTTGATGTTTTAGAAGAGAATTAGGTTTGATATTGAGGTTATATTGGTAAATTATAATCCCGTTCCATCTTGTTCCATAGGGTGGGGGTGGAACACGCCTATTCCACTTTGTTCCAGTCTGTTCCATGGGGGTGGAACAGTGATCCATGTTCTATTTTTTTTGTACAGTGTACCAAACGCACCCTTATAAGCATGTGGTATATGAAAACTGTATATGTTATTGAGTATTCATAAATTGGTCTCTTTCGGGGTTGAAGAGTCTTTCTTTATGCAACCTCTCAAACCAAGCTTAAGCGTAAGATTGAATTTTTAGTACTGATATGATACATGACAAAAGAAGATATAACATTAAAATTGTTTGTGTCAGAATGCCACCTGTAAAGAAGTTGAGACAAGAGGATTATCCTGGACCAAGCTTTGAAGATTTATTGGCAATAATAACACATGGAAAAAGAAGAAAGTAAAAGAAGGTATGGCATTGTCTAGCCATTTTCTTTCACGCTTGTTTTCTACTAATGTTCTTTTCATAAAGTGAGAGCTGAAGGTAAAAATTTTATGGAGTTTCATGTACTCATAGAACCGACCCTATTGAGTTTCACCATTTCACATGAGAATAATGTTTTAAAAGATGGACCGAGTTAGGTAGACAGTTTTGTGCTTGTTAGCCTAGGTAGGTATCACCCATCCTTCAGTTCACAATAGTATTATATATTCACGTTTTTGTCGAGCAATTCAAAACACTTTGAAAATGCTCTAGGGTAATTACCATCAAATTCTCATCTACAGTTTGTTATTTGGTGAACTATGCGTTTTGTCCGCTATCCGTTTCCAATTCCAATTCAAAAAATCATATTCTCCAATTTTAGATGTTCACAACGATTGTTGTTTTTTCCGGTCATGGCGTTGAATTTGGGAAATTAGCTCTTTTTGGTGCCCTAGACGGGCTGATAGCCTGATATATTTGTTCTCAATTTACGAAAGTTAAAGTTTCTCGATTATTGAAATTGACAGATGAGGAGATTCTATATAATTTCATATTGTTATGATGAACTTCTTTAAACTGGGGAATACAATCTTCAGTATGACATGTCAGATGCAAATAGAAGCTAAGCTGGGTTCTTATATTTATTTTATCAAAGAATATAAGTGAATACAAAGTAAAGACGCAAGACTCCTGAGTAGTCTTTTGCCTTACATAACCATACCATAATACAAAAGGCATGACTTGTTAAGGGATTGCACCTAGATCAAGCAAGATGCATGTCCATTTATAGGAGCTGGGCACAGGGATGTGCTCTGGGCAGGGCCGGTCCTGAAGTTTTGGATGCCCTCGGCGAAAAGTCATAACAATGCCCCTAATCTATGAATATAAAAAACAAACTATACTATTTGAAGGGGTTTGGAACCTAGTTAAGCTAGGTTGTCCATCTTCGCGTCGATTTTTATCAAATATAACAAAAATGATACCAAAGAGGGACATAAACCAAAACCCTGTATAACAGAAAAAATACACCACCTAAAACAAAGTCTTCATGCTTTATATTGAAGCAAACATATCAATCACTTTATTATAGTTAGTATTCGCTAAGAAGGTCATTGGCAGACCAATGAACAGCTGATATTACATATTCATCTAGCCTATGGAACTAGATGATTGATGAACTAAATAGTATATGGTACCCATCATAAAAACTCTAAAACAAGACAAAAAATGTTAAATCTTCAAACATCATTGACCAAAGAGGACCTCGTCGATCTTTTGCAACTTTGAAGTCTTACACAATTTTCTCCAAACCTATGTTTTCAGCAATTTCCCTTTTGATACAAAATGAAACAGGTCATTCGAACACTCCAAACCCGATTCTAACAAGACTCCATTCCATGATTCCAAGTACTTGCTAAAGCCTAAATTGCAGCCTAAAGAATTAAGAACTAAGTCTCTAATAACCAGCATTGAAAAAGAAAACTAAATGGCAGCCTAAAGATTAAAGAACTATTATTGAAGATTCAGATTCAAGAACAACTTTGACCCATCAAGTATTCAAGTTTGTTGTCCAATTAATAGTGATAATAAATAGAGCATTATGCACTGGAAAAACAACAAAAGCACTGTAACTTTTTGCCTTGTTGGTAGCTCCTAAGTCCATGATATCTCGCCTCTCTCTATCCTCATTGAAATAAAAAGGGAAAAGTCCAGAAAAACCCAATGGACTTTACTGTTTGGAACGATTAAGTCCATGGACAATTTTTTGGAACAAATAAATCGTTGGACATTCTAAAACCTGTTAAATAAGTCATTGAACTTTTTAAAACATATTAAATAGATCCTCATTCCTTACAAATGTAACTTGTAACCTGAATAAAAGGTAATTTTAAATTAAAAAAAAGAAAAACTTAAAAAAATCCTAAAATAATTGACTGCTCATCTCCCTCTTCTTCTACCTCTCATGACCACCGTCTCCTTCTCCCTCTCCCTCTCGCCGATTAATGCTCACACACCCCGTCTCCTTCTTCCTTTCGCCGATTAATGCTCGTCTCCGTCGCCCCCATCGCCGCCTCACCACCGTCGCCGCCCCTGTCTCCGCTCATCATTGTCGCCACCGCACCACCCGTCGCTCATCTAATCAGGTTTGCTCCAAAATTGTTCAATCATATGATTACATTTTTGCATATAAATCTTTCATTTGTTAAAACCTAATGAATGAAGAAGGTTTCTTGGCCATTAAGATATGCAAGAAGCTATTGAGGATAGTAGTTTAAAGTTTTAATAAGATCACTTTATGATTCTAGGATGGAGTTTGGTGCCATTCCTCTTAAGTTTTTGTATCTGTGAAGATGAACATAAATTGAAGGAGGTGGTCTTGAAGAAAGGCGTGAAGGGGTTAGGGGATATGATGGGGGAATTCAATGTAGAATTCATGGGGAAAAATCAGGGTTGGATTTTGGCCTCACTCACCAAGAATCATTCCATAAAGCAAACATATGCAGAAAGAATATGACTATTTTCAAGGGTAGGCACAAACTGAGAGATAAAGGAAAGAAAAGTGTAGGTTATACCAGTGCTTTGAAAGAAAACCCACCCGGATACGAAGGTTCGACCAAAGTCGATCCCGGACTGGTTGAGCCTCGCCACTGACCGATTGGGATTGTTGGACCGGACAAGGTAAGCTTGACCCTTCTTAACATGACATAGTTTAGGGATAAAACTCGAAACTTAGGGGCCGTTCACCTAAACACTTACCCGGTAAACGCTTACCATTGTGTATGTACCATAAGAGATATATAATCATATAGATACATACATATATCTCAAGAACATCCAAGGAAACAATAATTATATTTCTGTTTTTCATATGGGAATAACATCATAGGCATATCATTGTCTCCTCTTGATTAAAGGCCTTAAATCTATATAATCATATAGATACATATATATCTCAAGAACATGCATGTTTTTAAGCGTAAGTGCTTACTAGGTAAAAGACACTTACCATAATTCACTTTGATGACCGATAATGTTAACCGGTAGGACAAATAAGGGTATTAATTTTTGTCGGTAAGCACTTACCCGACAAGGGTTTAGTAAACGACCCCTTAGTAAAAATTCAAGATGGAGAGAGTAAGGGGCAGTTTACCTAAATGCTTACCCGGTAAGCGCTTACCATTAGGAGTCAACACTATAATTTATTTTACCGGGTAAAAATGTAGTACATCAAAACGTATTTATGCAACAATTTACCTGGTAAGCGCTTACCCGGGTAAGAGTCTTTACCCTCACTTACCGGGTAAGACTCTCCATCCTTATCATAGCTCTTACTGAGTAAGATTATTGCCCCTTGCCATGTTCATTCGGTGAGGAAAATTGCTCAGTAAGTACTTACCGGGTAAGCGTTTAATAAACGGCCCCTAAATGTATATTGACTATATAATGACCACTTGAGATGGAGAGAGTAAATGTATTCATTTGTTTGGCTATTCACTCTTTCCAAAGCATGGAAAGTATAAATTGATGTTTATATCAAATAAATGGTTTTTATGTTTTGGGGGTTACAATTGGCATGAAACTAGCTGAGGGAAATGCCATATGTACCATTTAATCTAGTAGTTGTTCATATATACAATTTAACACTACCTTTGCCTTTGAGATGTTACAAGTGTAACATGATGGAAATATATGATCGATTCCAATGCAGAGTCTTTTCACGATCCTAATCTTTCCTTAAACGCATCCATTTCTCATGTCAACTCCCTCCCCCACATTTGCATAAGTTTGCCCATTCATGTCTACATGCTTTTATAAACCCTCTTTGTCGTTTATTTCCCCCATATGAAAAAACACTTTAAGCGTAAATGCTTACCGGCTAAAAGACACTTACCATAATTCATTTGTGTAATTTGGATTCCATGGTTCTTTAGGATAAGTGTTTTAATAAATGCCCCCTAAGTGTTTTATATTTTCTTTTCATTTGTGAATTTGTAACATCATTTTCGTAGTGGGGTGTGTTCCCARTTTCACGTGATCTGATAATTTTACTTGTTTTAAAGTTTACAKGGTTTGAATAATTTATTTCTCCATTCTCCTACTAATTGATCTGTAGGGAGTTGATGCAAGTATCAGGTCAGAGGTTTGGACTTTCCTACTTGGAGTGTATCACTTCCAATTTGTTTTCTAAGTTCACTATGTAGTTTTTACATGGATGTTATATATGCATCCCATATTGTAGATGTCTTTTATCTTTCAACATTTGCTTGTTTAACTAGAGGCTGTTTACTGAATGAGAGCACTGGATGCATTTTAAAGAGCTTGTGTATTATATTTATGCATCTTGGTGAATGATGTTAAAAGTTATTTAAACTATAAATAGAGCATCAGACATTTAGGCATAGGAACACCTATAATACAAAGGGGACTTATCAGACTTGTGGGTTGAAAGAGTGCAACGAGCAGGTGGTTTCGGGATGTCTCTGTAGAGATTGGGGCTGTTAGGGCTTTTTTTGACCCCAAATTTGTTATGTTTTCAAATTTTTTTTGCTCACTGTCTAATTTGTAGACAGAGAATGCCTAACATTGCTTACTGCTGCTAATGACCTACTTTCCTTTCTCCATTTTTTTACTCAACAGTTATGAACTGAACAGTTGCCAAGAAGAAAGGGATAGATTAAGAACTCAGGGGAGGTATGCTAGTCGATACCATATTCAATTTCAAGAGAGGCTGTTGTTAATGATGAAGACCGTGATGAAGATGATACAATAGTTGGTGATGAAGAACATTATGAAAATGATGATGTTGTTAGACATCAAGAAGGGTTGCAAGAAAGTCAAATGGTTATTTCTCCGCCAGAAATTAATGATGCAAATGAAGATTAGTTCATACCATGACCTTAACATGGATTAGGCATTATTTTAGTATATTTTAGCCCAACTTTTGGTATATTTTGGCATAACTGTTGGTATTTTTTGGCCCAACTTTTGGTATATTTAACGCAATTGTTAGTATTTTTGGCGCAACTTTTGTTGCTCTTTGAGACTATCCATAGTGACGTCTGATGCCATGAAGAGTCGTGGAATAGAGCTCCATGGATTTAGGAAACTCTTGTATTGTAGACCCTGTTTTGCATACCTCAATCCTGGTAGTGTATGGAGTATGTCGAAACCGACATATTTTGGTTCAACTTTTTGTATATATTTTGGTTTAACTTTTGGTAAAATTATGCTTAAATTTTGTATGCGGATTATTATGCTTTGTATACAACTTTTATATGTTTTGTGAAGAATAATGAAAATGGTATATTTGTTTTTTTTATTATAAATGTAAGTACTTTTTTTCGTTCAAAAAATGTTTAAGGACTTGATCGTTCAAAATATGAGAGTCCATTGGTTTTTTCGGACTTTTCCACTAACAGAATGTATTTAACATATTTTAGAAAGTCCAGGGAGTTATTTAACAGGTTATATAATGTCCAATGACTTACTTAACAGGTTTTAGAATGTCCAATGGTTTATTTGTTCCAAAAAATTGTCTAAGGACTTAATCATTCCAAATAGTAAAGTTCATTGGGTTTTTTTTGGACTTTTTCCAAATAAAAAAATGTACTCCTTATTTTGGGAACAAAAGGTTATTTTATCCTATTCTAAGAAGCAAGTTTAGTTGTGTATTTGTTTTTTTTTCCAAAAATCAAACTGATAAAATTGCAAACCAAAAAGTAATCAAATCTTCATGTTCTACACCATACAAAACCCTAATCTGCAAGAACACACACAAACACCATTGGTCCGTGATACATTAACATTATACATACGGACTAACATACATACAGTGAAGTGAATCAAGTGATACAGTAACAAGAATTAGAAACATAAATGACAAACCACAAAGGACCAATTTCACAGCTTCATACTTAAGTTTTGCAATCAAACAAGAATTAGAAATATAAAAAATAAAATAAGCAAAGTAACTAACCCTAAGTCCCTAACCTCACAACTCACAAGAGTCAAGATGCGAGAGCGAGAGGACGAGAGCGGGTCGGCCATCGGCGATCGATAGTCGAGACTTGAGAGAGGCAGAGAGTGAGAGTGAGAGCGAGAGCCGATTGCGATTTTGATTCGTGAATCGTGAATCAGTTTCTGTTCGTGAGTTCAGTGAGCGAGGTCAAAGCGAGAGCGAGAGTTGAGGGAGAACAAATTGAAGGCCGATTGAGTAGTGGACGGTAATACTTTTGGGCCTAAATCAAAATTGAACCTGTATATATACATTGTGCCTTAGAAAATTGATGTCATTGGGCTTTATGCTGCCCTGGGCCATCGCCCCCTGGGACTATGGTCAGGACCGGCCCTGGCTCTGGGAGCCTTTAGGTTGCATTTGGTATCTAGACAAGGAGGACAGGACAAAATAGGACAGAACAAGACGGAACAAAACAAAACAACTAGAACAACTAGAAAACCCGCTTAGCATGTGGTAAGAGAAAACAATGTTGGTAAGACAAACTAGATAGGACAGAACATATAAAATGACCAATTTATCTCTAATGATTTGTTTATATCTTGCATATTTTTTTTGTTTAATTTATTTAATTTTGTTGGTCCCTTGAGGGTCTATAAGAAGAGTAAAACAGTTTGTAGAAGGGGGGATGAATACAAACACAATATTTTTAAATTTAAAATATATATTGATAAAGAAGATCAATACAAATTTTACAAGATTGTTTGCGGAAAGATAAGGTGATAAAAACCTATCTAAACAATCTTTAGATACACACCAAGTCTTAACAAATACGAGAAATGTAATGTTGTAGAGAAGATTCTTTACTTAAAGCCATTTAAAAACAGTAAGTTATCTAAGAAGAGATAAAATAATACAGAAAGTTAGCTAGACACAAGGAAAGAAAGAAAACACTGCTCTGATATCACTTGTTGGTCCTGTAAGGGTCTACAAGAGTAGAAACAGTTTGTAGAAGGGGGGGGATGAATACAAACACAGTATTTTCAAATTTAAAATATATATTGATAGAGAAGATCAATACAGATTTTACAAGACTGTTTGCGAAAAGATAAGGTAAAGAAAACCTATCTAAATAATCTTTGGATACACACAGATCTTTGGCAAATACAAGAAAAGAGATTGCTAAAGGGAAGATCCTCTACTTAAGCTAGAAGATGCTTGAAGTAAGAATAGGATAGCAGAGAGATGCGCGCACTTTGCATGGAGAAGAAACACTTTTATTTATACCCAGTGCATTAAATGAACATTTAATGCAATATGGTAGGTTTAGATGCATGTCAAGCCTTAAGAGGAAGGCTTGTCCTTTGCTACAGTGAATAATACAAAAAGCACTATTCATGAGCAGACATCCTTACCTAAAGTTGGTGGACAATAGAGTCSACTARTCGGCTCCGTACYGTWCCAACTTTCATAAGGGTATGGGTTTTGTCCTTTGTGTGAATAAGGACAAGACAACAACAATCGTGCTAAGCAAGCTTCCTTTGATCGTTGAATGCTGGAATGACTTGAAGGTCTCATCATTATTCGCTGAAGCTTGAGCAGTCTTCACACATATGTAGACAGACTTGTAATAACTGAATATCGCTTCAGATCACGTACTCGTCAGTCTCTAATCTTCAGTTTCAGTCTTCGACGTTTGCTGAATGATCTTTGGTGTGAGTGTTGTCTTCTTGAAGTATTGTTGTCTCTGTTAGATTTACAATGCAAGTTCTTCAGCGATACTGAACATATTCAGTGAAGATCGCTGGAACTGAAAAGACGAAAACATAAATACAACATATAAGTCAAAAGAGATTATCATCAAATCACCGATAGAGAGGATCAACAATCTCCCCCTATTTGATGATAACAAGATAACATAAAGAAGGTTATCTTATCAAATAATAGTAATGAAAAGTAACATATGAAACTAAAAATTTTCCTTAAGTTATATCTAAGAAAATTACAAGTACGGAAACTGAAACTGAAAGCTTATTCACTAACTTATAGATTGTTAGTGAATGTGAAAAGTAACATCAGAACTCATAGACTTGTGTCCCATTACTTTTTTCAGGGATCTTTTTCAGTGAAGTACATGAAATACTCATTTTATTAATCATAGGAAATATTACAAGTATTACAGTACATGTCTAGAACTTACATAATATAAGTACAATCACGGAAAGTAGACATAGTACAAGAAGTTACAACGAAAAGTGGATTGTTGTTAAAAAGAGAAACTATTCTAGAACTCTTAGATCTATGTAACCATGTACATTTTCACCAAGTTTTCTTCAACGTAGGAATTCCCTTCGTATCTTCAGATCTACGACTTTTCCAGGCATGCTATCATCTATCCAGAGCAAAAGGTAAACCAAATGATCCATTGGACATAGATGTAGCTTTGACATTCTCTGAAATCTGACTTCACCTTCATAGTCAAAGAATATAACTCCTAACTCAGGTTTAAAATGCACAGAGTTGGGTGTATAAGGACCCTCATATGGCAAGTCAAGATTCAACATAGAAATATTTGTACTCTTATGACCCTTCAGGACTTCATCTAAGGAGAACCTTGTTTCATGTTGTTTCCTTAGGAAAGGTCCATCATTAGGATCAGAGAGCTTGAGTTTCTTCTTCCTACCTTTCTTTAGAGTTGTCCTGTCAGGGACCTTGACATACTGTGATCCTCTCTCTCAGTAATTTGATGATAATCCCTTTTTCCTT